TGTGGGAAAACATATTTGCCAATGTCATATCTGATAAGGGCCTAATCTCCAAAATTTATAGGGAACTCACACAACTTAACAAAAGGAAGATAAACAATCCAATCAAAAAATGGGCAAAGGACCTAAATAGACACCTTTCAAAAGAGGACATTCAGAAAGCCAAGAGACATATGAAAACATGCTCAAAGTCACTAATCATCCGAGAGATGCAATTCAAAACAACAATGAGGTACCATCTCACACCTGTCAGAATGGCTATCATCAACAAATCAACAAACGACAAGTGCTGGAGAGGATGTGGAGAAAAAGGAACACTTGTGCACTGCTGGTGGGAATGCAGACTGGTGCAGCCACTATGGAAGACAGTATGGAGTTTCCTTAAAAAACTGAAAATGGAACTCCCATTTGACCCAGTGATCCCACTACTAGGAATATATCCCAAGAAACCAGAAACACCAATCAGAAAGGATATATGCACCCCTATGTTCATAGCAGCACAATTCACCATAGCTAAGATCTGGAAACAGCCCAAGTGCCCACCAGTAGATGAATGGATTAGAAAACCATGGTACATCTACACGATGGAATACTATGCTGCTCTAAAAAGGAAGGAACTCTTACCATTTGCAACATCATGGATGGAACTGGAGAGCATTATGCTAAGTGAAATAAGCCAGTCAATGAAGGAAAAATACCACATGATCTCACTCATTCATGGATAATAGAGACCATTATAAACTTTTGAACAATAATAGATACAGAGGCAGAGCTGCCTCAAACAGGTTGTCAAACTGCAGCAGGAAGGCCGGGGAGGGTTGGGAGGCAGGAGGTAGGGGGGTAAGAGATCAACTAAAGGACTTGTATGCATGCATATAAGCATAACCAATGGACATAAGACACTGGGGGATAGGGGAGGCTAGGGGACTGTCTAGGGCGGGGGGATAAAATGGACACATATGTAATACCCTTTGTAATACTTTAAGCAATAAATTAAAAAAATAAATAAATAAAAATAAATAAAAGAAAGAAAGAAAGAAAGAAAGGAAGGAAGGAAGGAAGGAAGGAAGGAAGGAAGGAAGGAAGGAAGGAAGGAAGGAAGGAAGGAAGAAAGAAAGAAAGAAAGAAAGAAAGAAAGAAAGAAAGAAAGAAAGAAAGAAAGAAAGAAAGAAATGGGGCACAGTGAGAAAAACAGTAGTGTTTGTAGTTCATGAGAGAAAAGAGAAAGCAAAAGGAAAAGAGAAGCCAGATTATGTAGGGCCTTACTACAGGCCATTTAAGGATCATCTTCTATTCTGAGATGGGCAGCCACTGGGGAGTTCTGGGCAAAGTATGATCTGATTTATGTTTTAAAAGGTTCACCCTGGTTATGTAGAGGTATAGAGAGCAAGTAAGGTAAGATGCTCAGTTGTGAAACTTGCCAATTCCAGGTAAGATACAATAGGATTTTGAACCAATGCAGTATTAGTAAAAGATGAGAAATGAAGATATTCTAGACACTTTTAAAAGTAAAGCCAATTGTATTTTTTCAGCAAAATAGATGTGAGGTAGGAGGAAAACAAGAGTCAAGGATGACAAAGTTTTTTAGGCTGAATAACAGGAAGGATGGATATCGCATTTATTGAGATGATAAGATTTGGGAAGAGTAGGTTGGGGCTAGGGTTGGTTTTGCACACATTTGAGGTGCCTATTGTATGATCCAAGGATCCAAATGGAGCTGTCAAGTAGGCTGCTGAATAATGTGAACCTGCAACATAGCTGAGAGGTCAAGACAGAAGATAAAAAGTATGAGCCATGGCACTTAATGTTAAAAGACTTGAAGAGTGTAAGGGACTAGGTACAAACTCAGATCAAATACTAAGTCCTGGAGCACTCTAATTTTGAGACACAGGATAAGGAAGAACCAGAATACTGAGGAGTGGCCAATGAGCTAGGTGAAAATCCAGGACAGAGTGGTCTTCTCCGGCTGAGTGAGAATAAAATTATTGCTAGAAATAAAGAATGATCAGTTAAGTGTAAAGGACTAAAAATTGAGTTAAAAGTGAACAAGAGAAGAACTAGAGACAGAGTGCATTCATTCAACAAACACTAGCATGCTACCCTGGCTAGGCACTGTTCCAACCACCAAGAATACAACAGTGAACCTGACATCCCAAATTCTCATCCTAATGGAGGATGGGACAAACAAACTCTAAAGAAATATTTCTATAAATGAGACAGGCATTGCAAAGAGCTTTGTAGTTGAAAGATATTTAAGATGGAAAAATTATATTTGCTTATGTGTTTGACCCAGTAGAGAAAAAAAAAACCGAGAAGAAAAAAATAAGAGTAAGGTATACTATACAAATAGGGGTTCATCTTGCATATGAGTAGAAACGTGAGTCATGTAGCAGGATCTGGATGACAGAGTATATGGCACATGGAAGCATATGGAAATTCTCTTCTGGTTGCTTTCATATTTTTAGGGAAATAGAATACAAAGCCATTAACTGAGGTGGAGGTTGTGAAGCATTAAAGAGAGAAGCAGAGATGTAAAATAGATTTCTAAGAAGGTTGTAGAAGAATCAAGCAGGGAAATGTAGAGGTAGTATCAGGCAATGTAAGAGGTTAGACCTGTCAGCAAAGGCATACTGCCAATTCATAATAACCAGGTTTTAGACTTTAATTTTAAAAAAGCAAACGCTGCTAAACAAATTAAGTTTGTTAAAAACAACTTCTGAATTTTTTCCAAAGCTTTAAACAGATCACTTCGGGTATTTTTCTCCAACTAATAAGATGCCACAAAAATGCTTGAATGGTCACGTCAGTAGATGAGAGGTTTCTAATCTGGTCTCCTCTACTATGCCTTCTCCCGCTGCCTCACCCTTGGCCTTTCTTTCCCTCTTAAATTTTTTCACCTATAACATGGAAAGAATAGCCCTGGCCTGATAGCTCAGTGGGTTAGCGCATCATCCCAATATGCCAATGTTGTGTGTTTGATGCCCAGTCAGGGCACACACAGGAAACAACCAATGAATGTATAAATAAATGGAACAAATCAATGTCCCTTTCTCTTTCTCCCCCCCCCCTTTCTCCCTTTCTCTCTCTTTAAAAGCAATAAATAAAAATATGTATTTTTTAAAAATGGAAATGATATCTAGCCTACCTACCTCACTGGACTAATGCCAGCATTATTCCACTACAAATGTGCAAAAAGGCTTTAAAAAGCACTGTTATCAGGATTTTGTCTAATAACAGACTTGGGAAAGCTTTTTTTTTTTTAAACCTGAAAATCCATTCTTAAGGATCCAAACCCCTCCTTTGTATTTAAATGTCTGAATTAGTTTTCAATCTAATTCTAAGGAATCAGTTAAGCAATATCTAATGGCCAACTGAACTTTATCAGTACTGGGGAGATGTCTGCTTTTAAATCACTTTTTGAAATAATCTAGTCTAGCCTGATCCAATCCTAATTTTAAACACTCTCCAATGAACAAGGTGAAAATTATCCAGGATTGCTTCAGGCACAGTCTAGATCAGTCTGCACACCACTCTGACCTGGAGTAACCCCAGTTCTATAGTTTCTTTGGGGATATTCACATTTCCTTTTAGCCAGCATGTAAATGACTTTACATATACTTAATCCAAATAGTTCCAAGACCTATTTCCTCGATTTTGGGGGGGAAAGATTTATTCACTATTTCTAGGTGTAAAAAGGGCCCAATAAGATGATGTTAAAATATTCAATGTCCCAATAATCCAGATTCCAGGGCTGAAATACTCAAGGAGAGTTTGTAAATAAAGCTACAAGAGAAACCCACCTCCCACCATGACAGGAGAGCTCTTCTCAACAAGCAGCTTCCCCAGCGCTTCTCATCATTACCTGGTCACAGGTCTTCCTGAACTGCCCATTCTCAGTTAGCACCCCTAGCACTGTTCTTTGTGGGGGGTCCTGGCCAAGCTGAGCTCTCGTCGTCTGACGGACATCAGGACCTCGGGACACTGGAGCCAGGACTACTCTGCTCTTGGAGCTGCTGAGATGCATCACCTCAGTGTCCACAGGCTGCTGCCTCAGGAGGGAGAAATAGACAAGCCAGTTAGTCAACCTCTTCCCAGGGGCTCCAAGCATGCAGGGAATCTCTAAGGGGCAGCACTGAAACGATGACCTTCCCAGCAATGATTAGGGCTGAAAGGACGCTAGCCACGGGGCATAAGCTATCAAAGCTGCTTTGAACCAAAACAGCGACTTGAATCCGTTGAGGCTTTCTTCCAAGACATGGGAGGAGAGAGCAGCCTGACAGACCTCCAAGCCAGGAGACTAAGGCTCCACGTTTCTTGGGGGTCTAAACAAGGGCGGGTCTTTCTCCGCTGAGGCTCATCCCCCGCCGCTCCGGCCGGCAAAGACCGAGAATACAGCACTGCGGGAAAGAACATGGCCGTCCCCGTGACCGGCAGGGCGCTCCCCGGCCCCGCAGCGGGCCTCGCTCTTCCCGGCCTTAGGCACGTGTGCCCCCAACACCTAGCAAGTGCGCTGGGGGCCTGGGGGCGAGGGGCCGCCAGAGCGGGGCGGGGGGCGAGGGGCGAGGGGCGAGGGGGCGAGAAGCAGCCGGATCCCGGCGGAGAGGCGGACGCCCGGCCGGCCTGGGCGCTCAGCGCTGGTTAGTTTCGCCATCACCACCGCGCCCCGCCCCTCCCCCCCGCGCCGCGGCTTCTGACCGGCCAATCAGCGGCGCGGCCGGGCCTCGCGGGCGCCTGTGGGCCTGCGCGCCCCACACCCGCCTGCTCACCCGCCGGCTCCGAGGCCGGGCCGCTGCCCCTGGGCGTTCAAGGCCGGGCGGGGCCTGCGGCAGCGGCTCCGGCTCCTCCGCGCGGCCCAGCCGCCTGGTGGGCGGTCGCAGTGGGCACTGCGCCCCTGCCGGCCGGCGCCCGGGGCCTGGGAGGAAGGAAAGTGGCCCACCCCGCGACGGCTCTGGCTTTGGGAGGGACTGTTTCCGTGAAGACGGCCGCCGCACAACCGCCCACTCCTCCCGCTAACGTCTTTTCCGCGTCCCGCTCCTGAGAACCTTGGCTCGGGAGAGCGACGCAGGCCCTCGGGGCTGCGCAGGCCGGCGCCCTGACTGCGCCCACACGAGAGCAAGGCTCGCTCACCGCCCCTGCCCTCACCTTCACCTCCTCGAGAGCGAGGCCCAGAAGCAGAGGCTTGGCCCCAAGTTTGCGTCGGGGCCTCCTAATCCTTGGCGTGGTGTGTCTCTGGTCATTTGGGGTTCTTGAGTACCAGGGACAGCGCCTGGCCCCCGGATTTCTGTGCACGTGACCCGGCGGGGCAGGAAAGGAAATTTGGAGTTTTAGGGGCGCACGTGGTTCTCACAGTCCCCACAAGAGGTCTTCCCTGGAGGGTTCCGGCAGCCACAGCGTGAAGCAGGGCCAGGAACGGTGAAACAGTGCCCCCGGAGGAGGAGGAAGGGTCGCAGGGGGCAGCGACGGGGCCTGGGGCCTTGCAGGGGACAGTGGTGAGGCTGGGACCTGGAGGCTGGGCAGGTGGCCTGGCCACCGGGGAAGGGAAGTTTCTGGATGCTGGATAGGGAAAGGGGTCCATGGACAGGTGAGGGGGAAGCAGGGAGCCTTATGTGAGGGAAGGGCGGAGAGTAGGTCCTTAAAACCTAGGAGCCCTTGCATCTGCAGGGGTAACTGGCACCTGGCAAGCCAGGTAAGAGGATCTTTAACTTTATTATTATTTTTAATGCGGATAAAAGCGTTTGATTGAGTCAGACATTGGTGGGAAGTTGAGAAGCATCTTGGAAATCAGTGCTGGATGCAGGAGAAGCAGAAACGGGTCTTGTTCAATATGAAACTAATGTTGATGCGTTTATCATTGAATTTCATTCACTGGGAAGCAGCAATCCCATTGCACACCGGATTTCAATGCCTTTGGATGAAGGCCACAGGGGAGCTCTGATAATGTCTTAGATTGCTGCAATAGCTGAGTGTTGGAACTCAGTTCCTTCATCTTGCTCCACCAATTGTCCGATTGGAGCCCCTCTGCCAGGAACTGGACCATCTGGACACCCAGTATTTTACAGGGAAGCCCTGAGAAGTTGTGTGTGTATATAAGAGAGTCTTTATTGTAGAAGCCAGTGGCCATGTAGCCATTGCTAACAAGGAACTGTCTAAAACAGTTCTTCAAAGCAAAGTCCCATACAGTAGCTGCACGGGCTAGGTAACAATACATCTTTCCCACACAGCAGCAGCCTGCTGGTCAGTAATACATATTTCCCTTAATACAGCAGCACCTAACATAGGAGAGCCTCACCAAGCAGCCTCACTGGCTGGTAACAACTTTACACTAATTTGACAAAAGAGGCTTCTTTCCAAATAGTGACCTCAGTTTTTTGGGTAATATAAGGGAACACTTGTGCAGTGTACATACAGACAGATTACTGTGGATTTGGTCTTGCACCTGTGTATAGTCCTTGGACACCCTGATTAAGATTCCCACACTCCTAGTGGCCTTGAACATCTGGTGTACTCTGAAAAGGGCCTTTATACTCTAATTGGCCTTGAGCATCTGAATAGGGTCCCCACCCTGAGTCAGAGGCAGGCAGGGACCAAATGCTTTGCTTTACAGAATACTACCTTGTGAAGGAAAAGAACGTTCTGCCCTCTTCCTGCCTTGTACTGCTTTTGGAAGTCTTTCTGGGAGCCCTCCCCCACCCGACAACACTGTTGTGATTTCTGGAGACACTGACAGCCTTTAGGATGAACTCAGGGACTCAGGAGCAAGGCTTGCCAAGAGCCTCTGTTGCTTTGGTGGGCATAAGATTTCCCTGCACTGTGATTCTGGCCCTTTCTGTAGGTCCCTTTTGACCTGGTTTCCTCTATGAAATGACTGAAGACCTCACACTTTTTGCCTTTCTTCCAAGACAAAGGAGCCAGTGCAGTGTTTTTTTTTTTTTCTGAAACCTGTCTTTTTGATAATCTTTTCTGAGGTTGAAGCTCAAGGGGCAGGGCGGGGGGGGGGGGGAGTGTGAAAGGAATTTTTAGGGGTGAAATAGGCAGGTTTAGGAAATTTTAGGAATTAAGGGATCCGTGGGGGGAAAAAAAAAAAAAAACAGGGCTACAGAGTTGCAAAAGGGTTCATTTCCAGAAGACAAAGGAGCTGGGAGCGGCAGAAGTTATATTTCCATAAGACAAGGGAGCTGGGAGTAGCAAAAGTGTACACATTTACAAAATGGAAGAGAAAGCCCAGAGGGAATAGGAGAACAATAATGGAGAAGAAGGAGGGAACATCACATACTTCATGTGAGACTTGAGCTCAGGAGTTGCTACAGTGACCAAATCAAAGGGGGGATAGTGACCAACCAGAGGGGATATCAAGGCACAAAAAACTGCAGCCTTTATAAACCGTAAGAGAAAAGGAACTCAGCAGACTCTTCCCCCTCCCCACGTGGGAGTCTGTACTTGTTCTTCAATAAATTTCCATCTTTGTTATGCCATCTTCCATCCATGGTTTCATTCTTTGACTCCAATAGACAAAGAGCCCAGGAAGCCATTCTGCCCAGGGGAACACCGCGCGTTTCCAGTTCAAATTTCCCGTTTCATAATGGTGCATCATCCGGGAATTTTATAAGTCAATCCTCTTCACGTCGAACGGTGAGTGTACCCACAGAGTCTGTCCCTTTCCTGTCTCTTGCATAATTTTGGATGTTGATGGATGCCCACCAGCCACTTAAACCTAGCTGCCGTCCAAAAAGCAGGCATTTCCCTCTCTCTTTCACTGCTCTTTTCTAGATGCACTCTCCATCTCCAGGGCCAAACTAAAAGTGGGCATGGGTCAGTCAAGTAATAGCCACTAGGGTGACTGCCACAAAAAGTCTCCCATGTCAGGATAAACTGGTGCCAGGTCGGGTTAGAGCATTAGGCTTCCACCAGTAGCAAGTCAAAGCCTGACCATTGACTAAAGGAGTGCTTGGGTCCCTGCCCAGCTCTGAAGACCAAAGAGGCAATTCTCCCCCAGGTCCGGGACTTTTAGATGTTCCTACATGAGTAGGAAGCCACAGAGGGGGTGCTGGGAGAGAACCTCTCCATGGCATGAAGACTGCCTCATAGGGTTTTAACAACACACGTAATTAAATTCTGACCTATCCAGATGATGCAAATAAGGGTTGGTCACCCAGCATTCTGAGTCCTTGTGGTTGTCTTAAACAGCCGGGAGAGAAACTGAGACATGTTTCCAAAAACATCACATTTCTGACCCACTACATATGTCCACTCCTCTGGCCCAGATCCCAAGCAGGTTTTAATTGGAGAGTCATCTGCCTTTTTCTTCTGCTCTCTATCTCGGTCAGGTGAAACAGCATCCAGCCAGTAAGGCCACTGCCTCTGCAGTCCAGGTCCCATTCAGCTTAACTCCTCAGTATCCATTTGTGCGGGCCTCTCTAGTATAAAGGGAGTAAAAGGTTCTAAGGGAAAACTTCTAGGCATGAGTTAAGACACGTGGGGCCAGCCAACTGTTTTCTACTCCTGGCATATAAGCATGGCACGAGATCTTCCCATCAGGTGTAACAGGAGTTAATCACAGTCCTTAGCCACTCCTGCCAGTACCCCCTGTAGAAGTTTTTTGCCTTTCAGAGACTTCACTCCCAGTCCGAACGGTTTTTTTCATCAATCTGCTTCACTAAAGACAGAATTAAAGGTTTGCAGCACCTAAGAAGGGGTTAATTCCTCAGGCAGAGGAGGACTTTCCAAACTCCTTAGAAATCTAGGATGGGAGCCCCAAGTCTGTCTGCATGCAACAGACAGTAATACCAGAGAGCAAGTGAGGAAGGCATGGCCCCTTACTGTGCGCAGCAGCACTACAGCCAGATGCAGCTATTAAGTTAGCCCATTAGTTTCTAGGTCGCTGGCCTTTCACCTTTTTTGAGATCTCTGTGAAATAAATCTGGAGTTATGAGATGTCTTTTTCACTCTGCATCTGACACTCAGGTGTTTTGCGTTTCATATTAGGGGTTTATAAATGTTTTCAATGCTTAATACACCATATACAACAAGCCGTGTGCCACATGTTATACTTTATATACAAATTGTTTGTTGTACAAATTGTTTGTTATCTCAGAATGTTATAAAATAAAGGTTTTATCAATTACATTTTAAACAAATCTATAACCATGCCACTTTTTGAATTTTGTCATATTGAACAGCCATTGCTTTACTTTGGTGCATTTATGTCTTTAGAAAAACCCATGGAAAGGACTCTGACTTACTCTAAATTGCAGGCTTCTAAGCAGGTCATATCTTTGAACTAAATGAGGGTTTGTAGAACTTCACGGAATTATTAAGTAGAAATAACAAAAATGTATATATAGAAGGTTCCCCCTCCCCACGTGGGAGTCTGTACTTGTTCTTCAATAAATTTCCATCTTTGTTATGCCATCTTCCATCCATGGTTTCATTCTTTGACTCCAATAGACAAAGAGCCCAGGAAGCCATTCTGCCCAGGGGAACACCGCGCGTTTCCAGTTCAAATTTCCCGTTTCATAATGGTGCATCATCCGGGAATTTTATAAGTCAATCCTCTTCACGTCGAACGGTGAGTGTATGGGAAAGTTCCCCTTTCCCAGCATACTTCAGTGAAAGTTTAAAAAGGGGAAATAAAAATCTCTTCCACCAATATTCACCTTTAATAAGAACTAAGAAGGTGTCCTACCTAAACCAGGGGTCGCCAATCGGTGGTCCACAGACCACTGGTGGTCCATGAGGTCTGAAAGGTTGGCGACCCTGACCTAAACTGTTCCCTGCAAAGTCAACTAGCATGTCCCTCTTCCAGGCATTTTTTAGGAAGCAACCAGGTTGTTTTCCCTGTTTTAAAGAAGGTAAAATCTCTGAGGTGGCATTTTTAAGGTTTAAAAGTAAAACAGCAGAAATTAAGGTGCAGTAAAAACAAAGAGCTAATCCAGTGAGCAGGGAGTTTAAAGTATTAAATTTGGCCAGAAATAAATTCCATACTTTCCCCAGAAATCAGGCAGAGGATAAATCCTTTAATGATGAGGGCATACAAGGGGTGGGGACCAGAGCTGTTTGTACTAGTACTTTCCTTGGATCACTGGATATTGGCCAAACCAGGGTTCCAAGTACTGTGTAAACTCTCTTAAGTCCTCATCCTACATTAAATCCCTCGGAAATTCAGTTCAGTAGGTACTTCAAAAACATTAGAACCATCTCAGGCACTTTAATCACAGACAAAGGGCCTGAGAACACAGGTTATACACACCACTCTCATCAGGAAGACATCAAGTGGAGGTGGCCTCTGCGTGAGCGTTGGTCGTCAGTCATGGTGGTAAGTGCAGTTAGTCCACCCAGCCACCTTGTCTGTGACCACCTATCAGCAAGGTGGGTCACCTAAAATCATCACAATGGATGCAGGATGTCTTTTGTGGGTACAAGGAGGCTAGTCATCCTTATACTTTCTCTTATTTTTTCTTCTTTCAGATGGGAAGCATGTCATCCATACTACATAAAGACAGCCCCTAAGACGCATCCTCAAAAAATTGGGATAAATTTGACCTACAGACCTGAAAAAAAAATAGTGCCTGATTTCTCTTTGCCCTCAGGTTTGGCCTCAATACCAACTTTCTGTAGGAAAAATGGGAAGTAGTTGGAAGTCACATATGTCCAGGCTTTCTTTACTCTAGGGGACAGCCAAAGGTAGGCAGGGAAACTGTAAACTTAGTCTTTTGCTCTTAGCAATAACAATCCAAAGTCCACCCAGGGAAAGGTGGAGACCATGCCCCCGCCCAGGATTGAGCCAATCTTAACTTGCCCCAAGACAAATGAAGGATCTGGTCGTACTTTAGCCTAGATTCCCTTCTCACCCTGGGACATGACACAAATTAAAAATAATTTAGGAAAGTTCTTGGAAGACTCTGACAAATATATTAAGGTTTTCCAAACCCTTATTCAAGTGTATAATCTCTCATACAGAGAATTAGAGACACCATGTTCATATTAAACTTGACCCTCTCAGCAACTGAAAAGCAAGGAATACTAGAAAAAGCAAGAGAATCTGGAGATAACCATTTTCTTACTTATGCCAGGGAAATAAAGGACTCTGAGCAAAGAAGTAGGGATATAACAGGACAGGAGTCCCTCAGTAGAATCCTGAAACTAAAAGGTAGAAAATAAACCACTGCCAGTTCTGTATTATAGAAGGCCTCAGATGTAGTAAAACAAAGCCTGTCAGCTACTCTAAATTAACCACCATTCATCAAGGGGATGACAAAAACCCCTCAGCTTTTTAGAAAGGCTCAGGGAGGCATTGGTTAAGTACACCAGCATTACCCCAGATTCAGAATTGGGACAACTAATTTTAAAGGACAAATTTATCACTCAGGCAGTCCCAGACATTAGGAGGTTGCAAGAATTGGCTATTGGTCCCAAGAGTAATTTAGAAAATCTCCTGAAAGTTACCACCTCTGTGTTCTATAATAGAGACCAGGAGAAGGAAAAAAGGAGAAACAGGAAAAGCCAGAACTAAGGCTCTTTGTGCCATGCTCCAGAAGAGCAAGGGCTCCAAGTCAGAGCCCAGAGGTGAATGGTCAGTCCCAGCCACCTGCTACAACTGTAGAGAGGTTGGACTTATCCACCGTAGTTGCTCCAAGGAGCATGGCAGACCCCAAAGCCCTGTCCTGTCTGTCAAGGAAATCATGGTAAGTCAACTGCCCCAGGAGGTGGAGGTTCCTTGGGGCAGGGCTGGCGACCCAGCTGGCCCAACAGGACTGATGGGGCTCGGGGTCTCTCACTGCTGCTCCTCAGAGGACTGCCATCTCCACCGAGGAGCCCCGGGTAAGTCTGACAGTGGGGGGCAAGGAAATTAATTTCCTACCCAATGCTGGAGCCACCTTCTCTGTATTCCTCCCAAACCCTCAGAGGCTGTAGCTGTTACAGGTTTATCTGGGAAGCCATGAGAGAGATATTTTTCTCAGCCTTCAGGGTGCAGCTAGGGTAAGTTGCCTGTTTCCCATGCCTTCCAGATCCTGCAGAAAGCCTCATATCCACTTCAGAGACAGTATCCTCTGAACCCTGAGGCTCTAGAACCGTGGTTCTCAACATTCCTAATGCCGCGACCCTTTAAAACAGTTCCTCATGTTGTGGTGACCCCCAACCATAAAATTATTTTCATTGCTACTTCATAACTGTAATTTTGCTACTGTTATAAATTGTAATGTAAATATCTGATATGCAGGATGTATTTTCATTGTTACAAATTGAACAGAATTAAAGCATAGTGATTAATTACAAAAACAATATGTAATTATATATGTGTTTTCCAATGGTCTTAGACGAGCCCTGTGAAAGGGTCGTGAAGGACCTTCACTACTGCACATTTTATTTTTTTTCACCTTTTAATTAAGAAACTAATTTTTTTCTTTTTTTTTAAAAATATATTTTATTGATTTTTTACAGAGAGGAAAGGAGAGGGATAGAGAGTTAGAAACATCGATGAGAAAGAAACATCGATCAACTGCCTCCTGCACACTCCCAACTGGGGATGTACCTGCAACCAAGGTACATGCCCTTGATGGGAATTGAACCTGGGACCCTTGAATCCACAGGCCGACGCTCTATCCACTGAGCCAAACCGGTCAGGGCCAGTTTTCCCCTTTTATTGTCCTGTTTCTCTTACCCTATTCCTGCTTTAGATTTTCCCTATTCCTTCTTTTTACCCCCTGTTAAAATTTCACCCTACTTATATATCTGATTTCCAATCCCCTGCTCTAAATCCATATACACCTCTCTCTTATCTTTCTTTATTATCCAAATTTTCTTTTTCCTCTCTGTCGTTTTGTTGTTTGCTTGATTGTTGAGTATGTTGAGTTTTTTTTATGGTTGTTTGTGAGATTTTTTTGCTTTTTATTTTTATTTTTCTGTTGTTTTTTTTTCCAGTTATTTTTTTGCTTCTGTTTTCCCTTACCTCGCTTGATATTAGTTGTTGTTTGTAGATTGCATTCATCTCCAGGGATCTGTTGCTAGAATTTGTTGGGATTAGTGGCTGTTCTATTGGAGTTTTCTCCACATATAAATAGTTTCTTCCCCTCTTCTATTTCTTTCCCTTTCTTTTCTCTCTTACTTTCTTTTTTCTTTTCCCCAATTTCAATTTTGCACTCCTTTTTTTTTCTATCTCTCTTTTTTCTTTTTCTCTTCTTTCTTCCTTTTCCCCTAATTCTTTTTGCTCTGGTGGTCACCTTTATTTGGGGTTATTAGTATCGTGAATACATTTGTGTTCAGTGCCTTGTGTGTTGTGCCTTGCTGTGTTGTATTTTGTGCCTTTAAATCAATGCAGCAGAGAGAGAACTACATAACCAAACACCTGGAGAACAGAGACCATGGGGAGACAAAGAAGCAGCCCACATATGAAAGAAAAACAGGCATCACCAGAAAAGGAAGTAAATGAAATGGAGGCAATGGAGGCAAGCAACCTGTCAGAGAAAGAATTCAGACAAATGGTCATAAGGTGGATGAAAAAAATGGAAGACAAATTCAACAATATGTGTAAGAACCAAGAGGAAATGAAGAAGAACCAAGAAGAAATGAAAAATGACATCACTGCTATAAAGAACTCAATAGAAAGCATCAACAGTAGACTAGAAGAAGCAGAGGACCACATCAGTGAGCTAGAATACAAGGTAGGAAAAAATACCCAAGCAGAGCAGCTTCTAGAAAAAAATAAAAAGCAGGAGGAGAACCTAAGAGAACTTTGGGACAACACAAAACGAAACAACATCCGCATAATAGGGGTGGCAGAAGGAGAGCAAACTGAGCAAGGAATAGAAAACCTGTTTGAAAAAATAATGACAGAAAACTTCCCTGACATAGGGAAGAAAAAACTCACACAAATCCAAGAAGCTCACAGAGTCCCAAACAAAATGAACCCAAAAAGACTGACGCCAAGGCACATAATAATTAAATTGGCAAACACCAATGACAAAGAATCTTAAAAGCAGCCAGAGAAGACAGAAAGTTCCCTACAAAGGATCCCCCATCAGACTAGCGACTGATTTCTCAACAGAAACACATCAGGAAAGAAGGGAATGGAATGAAATATACAAAGTCATGCAAAGGAAGGGTCTGAATCCAAGCATACTGTACCAGCAAGGCTACCAATCAAAATTGAAGGTGAAATCAGGAGCTACACAGACAAAAAAGGACTACGGGAGTTTATTACCACCAAACCAGCAATGCAAGAAATGCTAAAGGGTCTGCTGTAAAAAGAAAAAATAGGAAACGACGAAGGAACACCGGGGTAAAGAATAAAAAAGGGACAAACAAGTATCTATCAATAATAACTTTCAATGTAAATGGATTAAATGCCCCAATCAAAAGACATAGGGTAACTGAGTGGATAAGCAAACATGACCCATATATATGCTGTCTACAGGAAACCCACCTCAAAAAAAAAGACGCACATAGACTGATGGTGAAGGGATGGACAAAAGTTTTTCAGGCGAATGGAAACAAAAAAAAGCTGGGGTAGCAATACTTATATCTGACAAATTAGATCACAAAGTGAAGGACATAAAAAGAGATAAGGAAGGCCACTTCATAATACTAAAGGGAGCAATCCAACACGAAGAAATAACTCTAGTAAACATATACGCACCCAATATAGGAGCACCCAAATACATAAGAAATCTTCTGGAGGAGATCAAGGGAGAGATTGACAGCAATACAATCATAGTAGCGGACTTTAACACCCCACTATTACTATTGGACAAATCCTCTAAACAAAAAATGAGCAAAGAAACATCAATCCTAAATGACTCACTAGATCAGATGGAATTAATTGACATCTTCAGAACATTTCACCCCAAAGCCACAGAATATACATTATTCTCAAGTGCACATGGGTCATTTTCAAAGATAGACCACAGATTGGGACACAGGAAAAGTTTTTTTAAATTCAAGAAGATAGAAATCATATCAAGCATCTTCTCAGATCACAATGCCAAAAAACTGGAAATCAACTACAATAAAAACAATCCAAAAAAAATCAAACACATGGAGACTACATAGCATTCTATTAATGACTGGTTTACCAGAGAGATCAAAGAAGAAATAAAAAACATCATGGCAACAAATGACAATGAAAACACAACAATCCAAAACCTATGGGACACAGCAAAAGCAGTCTTGAGAGGGAAGTTCATAGCTCTACAAGCCTACTGCAAAAAACAAACAATGATAACAAATTACCTAACCCTACAACTCAAAGAGCTAGAAAGAGAGCAACAAGAAAAGCCCAGTGTAAGCAGAAGGAAGGAAATAATAAAGATAAGAGTGGAGATAAACGACATAGAGACCAAAAAAACAATACAAAAGATCAACAAAACCAAGAGCTGGTTCTTTGAAAGGATAAACAAGATTGATGAACCTCTAGCCAGGCTCACCAAGAAACAAAGAGAGAGGACCCAAATAAACAAAATCAGAAATGAAAGAGGAAAAATAACAGACCCCACAGAAATACAAAGGATTGTTAAAAAATACTATGAACAACTCTATTCCAACAAACTAGACAACCTGGAGGAAATGGACATATTCCTAGAAAAATACAACCTTCCAAAACTTAATCAGGAAGAATCCAAAAACCTCAATAGGCCAATAACTATGGAAGAAATTGAAGCAGTCATCAAAAAGCTTCCAGCAAACAAAAGCCCGGGGCCAGATGGCTTCACAGGGGAGTTTTACCAAACGTTCAAGGAAGAACTAAAACCTATCCTCCTCAGACTATTCCAAAAAATTCAAGAGGAAGGCACACTTCCAAGCTCATTCTATGAAGCCAGCATCACCCTAATACCAAAACCAGATAAAGAAAACACAATGAAAGAGAATCACAGGCCAATACCCCTCATGAACATAGATGCCAAAATCCTCAACAAAATCCTAGCAAATCGGATCCAGCAGTACATCAGAAAGATCATACACCATGACCAAGTAGGTTTTATCTCAGGGATGCAAGGATGGTACAATATCCACAAATCAATAAATGTAATACATCACATAAACAAATTGAAAGATAAAAACCACAGTCATATCAATTGATGCAGAAAAAGCATTTGACAAAATCCAACACCCTTTCTAGATAAAAACTCTCAGGAAGGTAGGAATAGAAGGATCATACCTCAACATAATAAAAGCCATACATGACAAACCAACAGCCAACATCATATTCAATGGGCAAAAACTAAAACCATTTCCCCTAAGAACAGGAACAAGACAGGGATGCCCCCTCTCACCACTCCTGTTCAGCATAGTATTGGAAGTACTAGCCATTGTGATCAGACAAGAAGAAGAAATAAAAGGCATCCAAATTGGAAAAGAAGAAGTAAAACTGTCTTTATTTGCAGATGACATGATACTGTACATAGAGAACCCTAAAGACTCCATCAAAAAATTATTAGACTTAATAAATGAATTTGGCAATGTAGCAGGATACAAAATTAATGCCAAGAAATCCATGGCATTTCTTTTTTTAAAAAATATATTTTATTGATTATTTACGGAGAGGAAGGGAGAGTGATAGAGAGCTAGAAACATCTGTGAGAAACATCGATCAGCTGCCTCCTGCACACCCCCTACTGGGGATGTGCCAGCAACCAAGGTATATGCCCTTGACCGGAATCAAACCCAGGACCCTTCAGTCCGCAGACCTACGCTCTATCCACTGAGCCAAACCAGTCAGGGCTCCATGGCATTTCTTTACACCAATAGTGAACTTCCAGAAAGTGAGACTAAAAAAGCAATCCCATTTACCATCACACCAAAAAAATTAAGATACCTAGGAATAAACTTAACTAAGGAGGTAAAAGACTTATAAGCAAAAAACTGCAGGACACTGAAAAAAGAGATAGAGGAAGACATAAACAGATAGAAGAACATACCATGCTCATGGATTGGTAGAATCAACCTCATCAAAATGTCCATACTACCCAAAGCAATCTATAGATTCCATGCAATCCCCATCAAATTACCAACGGCATATTTCACAGATCTAGAAAGAATGTTCCAAAAATTCATCTGGAATAAAAAAAAACCTTGAATAGCTGCAGCAATCCTGAGAAAGAAGAATAAAATAGGTGGGATCTCAATACCAGATATCAAGCTGTATTACAAAGCCACTGTTCTTAAAACAGCTTGGTACTGGCACAAG